GTGCCTCACTACTCACCTTCTCAGGCCTCGCTGTGGGAGACTCTTCAGCACCATTTACAAAGGCAGCTTGATAAAGGACTCTCTCTCTTGCAGGTATGTGTTTCCATCCTTGCTGACCACGGCCACCTCCTTTATACAGATGGCTGGTCTTCCTCATCGCACATCTTTTCACCATCCTTGGTTAATACCATTTAGGTCTGTAATCTGTAGGTTCTGGGAATGGTTTGATTTAGATTTACTTTAAAATAAATCTGTCCCCTCCTTATTCAGGAATATCTTTCCCATCTCAGCATTATAAGGATCCTATATAGTCATTTAATTGATCTGGATTTCATTTGTGCTTTTCTAGGGATGAAACATCATTTTTGTATCTATGTATATAAAATTGTCTCATGTTTGATTGTTAGTGAAATATTTGTAACAGGGACATGCTTATGTTTAGTGATTTGGCCAAACAGCTGTTAGATTCGTAGAAGCCAGATGCTATAAGCTGAACGTATCCTCCCAAATTCATGTGCTGAAGCCCTAATCTCTGATGTGATGGGGACTTTGGAGTCCTCCTAAAGAGCTTAGTGTCTCTACAAAAGATTCCAGAGAGCTCGCTTCCTCTGTCCGAGCTCTCTGCCATACGAAGACATAGATAAGAATGACCATCTGCCAACCAGGACAAGATCCTTTTCCCTGATCTCAGATTTCCTCTCCTCCAGAACTATATAAACTGAATTTTTGCTGTTTAAGTCAAAATAAAATAAATTGTGAGCAAAAGACAATAGGGTATTCTTGCTACTGTGCTGAAGACACATTCGGAAGATAAAATGCATATTTCAATGTGAGAACTGGCCATAGATGTAAGAGTGATCTGAAGCCATCATGAAAATCAGCCCATCCCTTATTCCATAATTCAGTGACTCAGGGCAGGATATAAGAAAGCTGGGAAGCAGATCAATATGTCCACAGCATCCACTCTTAATTTCCTGCTTAATTTTCATGGAAGTATGTATTGGAAGAACTAGTGCGACCAGTCTAGGAGAACTGCTTGAATTTGATGACATGGGAAAAACCATAAAAGAATGGAGATGAAAGAATAAAGGGACCCTCATTAAATAACACCTCGCCCACATCCTCATGAGCATATGGATTTGGTCTCAATTTAAGAAACTGAAGTCCTGAGAGTAGTTTCCAGTTGCTTTGCTAGCAATAAATTTTATCAGTATATTGTGTCTAATAATTTCACAAGTTGTACTGCCACCTATAATTGTGATGTTTTTGAGTTAAGTTCAGAAGCCCACCTCCTTTTCTCTGATGATGGATTTTTTTACTGCTCGTTCTGTCCCTGGATATCTGGTATCCTTTGGCTTATGAATGTATTATGAGATGTGGGCTGGCGCAGGGTAGGACCTGTTCTTGACCAACATAAGAGCTTATCCTAACAATATATGCAGGAAGAGGTAGCCAGGTAATTGCTAAAGACCAGAGTAAAGGGCAGCTGTTTCTAGGAACATGCCAGCCCATATGTTATACCCCAGCTAGCGCTCTTGTCTATTTGAGTCTCTAATCCAAAAGATAAAAGCCAGGCTGTTGAAAACCTTCATAGGACTTTTGCTAACTAGGCCATGCATAAAAGAGGTTTTGCAATAGTCTCGTCCATGCAGTTCTCTAAGATTACTTCACACTTTATTAGGAGTGATATAATAGAGGCTTTAATATATCTGTTTCAGAGACAGAACAAGGTTTGACACTCAGTTCTGGAGTTTCCTATCTGTATTACCTTCAAAAAGTCCTAAAGCTCTATGAACCTCAGCCACCCCACTTCCAAAATGGGCTAGTAATACCTACTGTATAGAGTTATTGTTAGGGTGCTGTGACCTGCACAAGTCTAGGGGGTGCCATTCACACAGTATAATGGGAATGAGAACACTAGGAATTTTATGACATGGCAGTGCCACTTACTGTATTAGATGTAACATTTGTAAAGAATTAGCATGTGTCTAGAACTGTGTTTAAGAATGGGATCCAGAGTTTATTCACTCAGGCAATTGACAGTGATTTGCCATTGTGCCATTTGGAAGCTGGCTTCTAAGAAGTAAAGTAGTTTTGGCTCAAATAACAATTTGCACAGACTTGGGAGTAAAAAGTATTATCACAGTCAAGGAATAGAAAGACTTTTCATATTCTGGAGCTTAGAGGCCAGATCTTGAAAAGGTCTGAACATCCTGTTGAGGAGTTTAAACTTTCTCTTCAGGGCAGCGGGCAACCAGTAAAGAGTTTTAAGAGGAATGACAGTTAGATCTGCACTTTAGGAAGTTCATTTTGGCTAAAAACTGAACGGAATGATGCGATCTGGCAGTGGTTTGAAGGGAGCCAGTAATATCAACCTTGGAGACAGAGACTGGTTTAAGTCTCTGTTTTGTGTTTACTCTTCCTGTTCTGCGTGATCCCTTGCGAGCAACTACTTTTACCTTATTGATTTCTACAGGTTCTCTAGATATGATAAGTTGCAAGTCTTCTAAAAGTGTCACTGCAAATGTTTCTCCTTTTAACACTTTAGATCTCTACTGTATCATTTTATATACCTGCTGCATAGACACTGGGGGATCATTTATAAATCAGATTTCTTTATGACAGGCAAAGGCTGATCTCCTTGTTTCTAACCTTACCCTGACAGTCTATGTTCCACTGAATCAGCAGAGGTCCTTTTAAATAAAAAATCACTAGAATGATCACATCACACTTCTGATCAGAGCCTTGCTATGATTCACATCCTCCCCCCCCCCCCAATATTCACTGATGAATTCTCAGAACCTACAAGAGAGTCGTGTGGGTCATCCTAAAATATGTGTTGGATGGCACTCATGTATTGATGGAATAAATTGTTGCTTGAGGGAGTCAGAACTAGATATTCCACTGCTAGTTACAGTAGTAACAGGCTAGTTCAGTGCCATCCTGTCTTTAAGCAGAGAACCCATAACCCATCCAATATGAACAAATAGTTGGTGACCATGAGCTTTGCATATTTTGAAAATGTATTCCACTTTTTGCCTTTTATTTAGAATGGAATTCTATCATCACACCACAGCCTTCTGTTGGGTCTTCTTTAAAATGTGAAGACTGTCAAAGAAGCTTATCTCTCAAAAGTGATGAGCTATAAATTGCTTTCGATGAATGGTGGACTCCCTGAGAATCTGCCAGAACACACTGGGCCAGACGGGGTTCCCTTGGACCTTAGTGCTATTTTCAGTATGAACCAAGATGACCAACATGGGCCAGAGAACTAGTGACCTTGGGGGTGACTCTTGGCCAAAGCAAGACTCTGAAAGATTCCAATCCAGTCCCACCTTTAATTGTATCAGTCATAAGGCTATGTTCTCATTCAGGACTCCTTCCTGTCATCACTTTATCTGATCATAAATGACCCTGCATACAAGACCTTCCAAACTTGAGTTACCCTGACTGGGAACAGACCTTCATCTGCTGCAGATCCCTAATAGGGGACAAGGGTGTTGTAAGGCCCCACCTGGTAGGTGAATTAGGGCCTTGGTGGCTCAGTCCAGCACTTGGCTTTGTTATGCTCAGTGACTCTGTTGCCATGTCCCTAGCTGCTTCAGCCCTTCATCATATGTATACTCTGTGGTCACTGAGCACATGCCACATGAGCTCATGTAGATGGAATTATTGCTTCAGCTTTTTTTTTTTTTTTTTGGTCACTTCAACCCTCTGTAGAACTAATATGTGTTTTAGAATGACCATGAAAAGTATGACATGGACACCAAGAAGGATCATTTTATGCTATGGAGGCTGATTTCATAGCCTGCCAGGAAAGAGTCTTACAAGTACACCTGGTCACCCACTTTCCTTCTGTGGGCTGCCTGGAGGTACTACAGCATAATAGGTGCATGCATGTGAAAGGCCGTGTTTGAAAAACCAGATGTGCAGCTGCTAATGCATCAGGAGACTTGGTTGAAAATTAAGAGGACATGTACTCTTATCAAAATATGCCTTTAAGAACTGTGCTTAGTCTGTGGAAGTAATGCATTCAGCAGAATTTTTTCTCTTTAAGTACAAATACTATTGAACTTTGATTACAAGCAAACTTGAGGATTTTTCGGTTTCTAGCAAGTTGGAGTAATAGCACATTATTTCATGAAATGCAGAGACGGGTATGCCACAATTGAAGATCATCACTAAGTCTTGTGTTGATAGGATCTTTAGGGTCTGAACTTCAATGCATCAGTCTTAATAATGTGATTTTGGTGATGAGACAGCTTCTGGTGTTAGAGATCATACTAACCAAATATTGGGCCTCCCAGGTGGCGCAGTGGTAGAGCGCTGGGTTGCGAAGCTGCCCGCGGCCTCTGTGGCGCCGGTTCAATCCCCGGCTGCTCCCAGGCCACCGGAGGAGGGTCCCACATGGCGCGCAGACCTCTCCTGCCGCCCGCTGCTCCCCTCAGCAGTGTACTTCAGTCCTTCTGCCTGCTCTGCTCCCTGCTCTGGCTCTGGTGAATTCTCTCACCCTCCCGCGCTTCTGACTGTACCCAGTGCATGTATAAAACAAAACAAACAAACAAACAAACAAATAAATAAAATGCCTCTATTAAAAAAAAAAAAAAAAACAAATATAAAAAAAGTCTGATTTACCAATAATGAGGACTTTTTAAAATGTTTGAAAAGTTTTTTTTTTAATTGGTTTGTTTGCATGCATAAATGTGTATTCAATAAAGCAAGGCTACAGTTGAACTTTTCATTTTCCATTGGGCCAATTGTGTGTATTGCTCAGTGAATGGGGACTCCACATAGGAAATCTACCAGCAGAGAAATTGATTTTTAAATTTTACAAAGGAACTTAATCATTGATGGATTCTTGGAATAATGGTTTACCATAGAATTTTGGGATAGTCAAATATGAACAAGTCATTGGTAAAGCAATAAAGAAAAGTAATTAGTCATGCTTTGGATCTGGCTCTAATGATTTCATTTTTCTCTTCCACCCCATCTTCTTTCAGTGTAGGTTGTGACACTTGGAAGTCCGCCATTGTACAACATGCTGCGATTAAATCTCTCACCTGTCTTTTCCATGGGATTTCGTCTGTTAGCCATTGTGGCTCTGTTATTTTTCCATGTGGACCATATAAGTGCTGAAACAGAAATGGAAGGAGAAGGCAATGAAACTGGTGAATGTACTGGCTCATATTATTGTAAGAAAGGGGTGATTTTACCCATCTGGGAGCCCCAAGATCCTTCCTTTGGGGACAAAATTGCTAGAGCTACTGTGTATTTTGTGGCCATGGTCTACATGTTTCTTGGCGTCTCTATCATCGCTGACCGGTTCATGTCCTCTATTGAAGTCATCACGTCTCAAGAAAAAGAAATCACCATAAAGAAGCCCAATGGAGAGACCACCAAGACAACTGTGAGGATTTGGAATGAAACAGTTTCTAACTTGACCTTGATGGCCCTGGGTTCCTCTGCGCCAGAGATTCTCCTTTCAGTAATTGAAGTGTGTGGCCATAACTTCACCGCAGGAGACCTTGGCCCTAGCACCATTGTGGGAAGCGCTGCCTTCAATATGTTCATCATTATCGCGTTGTGTGTTTACGTGGTTCCTGACGGAGAGACAAGGAAGATTAAGCACTTGCGTGTGTTCTTTGTGACAGCAGCCTGGAGCATCTTTGCCTATACCTGGCTTTATATTATTTTGTCTGTCATCTCTCCTGGAGTTGTGGAGGTCTGGGAAGGTCTACTTACTTTCTTCTTTTTTCCCATCTGTGTTGTGTTTGCTTGGGTGGCAGACAGGAGGCTTCTCTTTTACAAGTACGTCTATAAGAGGTATCGGGCAGGGAAACAGCGGGGAATGATTATTGAACATGAAGGAGACAGGCCATCTTCCAAGACTGAAATTGAGATGGATGGGAAAGTGGTCAATTCCCATGTTGACAACTTCTTAGATGGTGCTCTGGTTCTGGAGGTTGATGAGAGGGATCAAGATGATGAAGAGGCTCGGCGAGAAATGGCTAGGATTCTGAAGGAGCTCAAGCAGAAGCATCCAGAGAAAGAAATAGAGCAATTAATAGAATTAGCTAACTACCAAGTCCTGAGTCAGCAGCAGAAGAGTCGAGCATTTTACCGCATTCAAGCTACTCGCCTGATGACCGGAGCTGGCAACATCTTAAAGCGGCATGCAGCCGACCAAGCAAGGAAGGCTGTCAGCATGCATGAGGTCAACACAGAAATGGCTGAAAATGACCCCGTTAGTAAGATCTTCTTTGAACAAGGGACATACCAATGTCTGGAGAACTGTGGTACAGTAGCCCTGTCCATTATCCGTAGAGGTGGTGATTTGACCAATACTGTGTTTGTGGACTTCAGAACAGAGGATGGCACTGCCAATGCTGGGTCTGATTATGAATTTACTGAAGGAACTGTGGTCTTCAAGCCTGGTGAGACCCTGAAGGAAATCAGAGTTGGCATCATCGATGATGATATCTTTGAGGAGGATGAAAATTTCCTTGTGCATCTCAGCAATGTCAAAGTATCTTCTGAAGCCTCAGAAGATGGCATCCTGGAAGCCAACCATGTTTCTACACTCGCTTGCCTGGGTTCTCCCTCCACGGCCACCGTGACTATTTTTGATGATGACCACGCAGGCATCTTCACTTTTGAGGAATCCGTGACGCATGTGAGTGAGAGCATTGGCATCATGGAGGTGAAAGTCTTGCGAACATCTGGAGCTCGAGGAAATGTTATTGTTCCCTATAAAACCATTGAAGGGACTGCCAGAGGCGGAGGGGAGGACTTTGAAGACACTTGTGGAGAACTGGAGTTCCAGAACGATGAAATTGTGTAAGTTCTTTTTTTTTTTTTTTTAAATATATGTGCATGTGGTTGAGTGAGTTTGCGGATATGAGAGTGTGTGTATGGGTTTTTTATACTAAAGGGGATATAAGGCCTGGAATAATTTCAGACTGTTTCAAAATATCAGTCCTTACTACTATGCCTCGTCTCTGTTGCTCTATAAAAAGACCTTAATCTGATATCAAGATTTGATTTTTACTGTTGTGCTTTTGTATATTTGAATCACATGATAGGCTATGATAGAATCTTGGGACCAATATATCAAGCCACTTATGATGGAAAAATGTGGAAAAATGTGTATTTTGTTTTGAATCAGATACTATACATGCACAGAAAAAAATATTATTTAAAACCTCACATTAAGTTACTAACTTAACAAATTGGGTAAACCCCCAAAAGAAACATCTCTACAAAGAATTTCCTGGCTACCAGGGCTGACTGAAATGATTTCTGCTGTTTTTGACTTGACATTGTGTTTTTTTGTGACAACATAACATTTCATTTTAAATGCTTAGTTATAACTTATTGATGAATTCTGCCTTTTCAGTCTTGCGACCACATACAGCTCTTACTTTTTCCCAGTCTGGCTTTTTTTTACATGATTAAACAAACTCTTTTATCCTGCTGATACAGTGATGGAAAGAGAAATAGAATTCTGTCCAAGCATCCTGATTGAGTAGGTCAGTGAAAAAAAAGTGGAGGACAATGTACTCTTCCTGTTGGCATTTTACCATAACACTTGCCAGTGATGAAACACCAAGTGCCTGGTTGTGTGAGGAGCCTTCCATTAATAGCTGCTATTTAGATATTTCTCCTTCATTGCCTATGAGGGAACATTGCCCTCACCAAAAACAAACCAGAAAATTTGACCCAATGGGCAATGTCCAAACTGGACAGATGGAAGAAAGGAAATTATTTATCCTATCTGCAGGGCAACAAAAGACACTAAAATGAATATGTTGGTTGAATCATTGGCAACTTAGGAATTTCAGGAAAAGAAATACATAAAATAGTTCTAAAAATGATTAGTTCTTGTATTAATGGCATGTGGTATGTCAAATGGCAAGTGTATTCTCTCCAAGAGGAAATATCTCCTACTGAAAGTGTAGAGAAAATAAGAAAAGGGGTGGAAGGTGGGCAGAGGGAAAACTTTGTTTCTAAAAGAACCTTGCAATATCTTTATAGTTCTTCATTATTGTATTATAGAGATGAGCAGTAATGGAATACAGCCCAATTACATCAAGCAAAGTAGAGTTTATAATATCCACCTTCCAGGGTGTGTGTGTGTGTATGGCTTTTGATGAATATCTAGTTTATGTTGGATCTTATGTTGTTAGTGTTCCACTTACTGAGATGTGTGTTATTGGGACAGTTATTTTAATGAAAGAGTAATATAGTAGCAGGTAAATAGCCTGCGTATCCAAGGAATACATTTTCCAAAGGCCTTGTATTAAATGTGATCCTGCCCACCTTAGTACACATAAGCTTTATTCCTTTGCTAGGATTTTTTCCTTATTATATTTTGTAAATGTTTCAATTATTGAACCATCTTGTATTATATGACACTCATAATCCTGTTCTTAAAGGAGTGTTGCAGATTAGTAAATGAACTCCCAACAGCAGTCCTTTAATATTACCAAATTAGTGTTTTGTTCTTTTTTTTTTTTGTATAAGTACTTAAGATGTTTTCTCATGAAAATTTGGTCTTACTTTCTCTTATAGAAATGGCTCTATACGTGTTATATGAGAGCAGACTTTTCCTATCAATTTCCCTATATATTTTTTTTATCCAGGACTTTTACCAAATCATAATACATTACCATCTTTTGGGCACAGTGTAGAAGAAAAAATGTAGAAAAGACTGGCAGCTACTTGATGGAATAATTTATTCCTCCAAGCTCCACTTAAAACACTCATCCTATGTCATTAAATTGATTAAATTCTTGCTAAATAAGGAATATTGCCAGATTCCAATTTTAGAAACTTAGATTTCTTGTGAAAATTGGTGAGGATTGGTGGAATTATTGGTAAGCCATCCTTGATTGTGTATTCTTAGGAGTGTTCTACATCCATAGCCACTTGCTAGTTTTCTAAAACTCTCACTGTTTTTATTTGCTAAGTTGGCATTTAAAAATTTAGAAATGGCAAAGTATTTTATAAGTGGAATGAAATTTCAGCTCAATACTTTTTTCCTTTCTAGAACTTTAATTTTAAAGCGTTTTCATTGTGACATAGGGTTTTAGTACTGAACAAGCTTTGTAGGTACTTACTAGGTCTGTTGCTGCAATGAATTTGTTCAGGTCAGTGGGACTTAGTCTTAAGCTAAGTATCAAGGATTCAAACAATGTTTATAAAAATAACATAATACCAAAGATCCTTTATTCTATTTATACATGGATTATTTTTTCTCTGGTAGTTATGTCCAGGTCAGGTCCACACAGATCCAAGTGAAAGAGTTTGTCATGTAGCACAATCCAACTTGATAGACCCGACCCACTAATTTTAAGAATGAATATATATCTTCAGCTGATTGCATAGTTTATCTTGATATAGGACTTTCTTAAAAACCTACAATATATGAGTAAAAACTGTTGACACCTCTGAACCTTATTAAATACTTTAAAATATCTTTCTTTTTTCACTGCTGCACATAAAGCCAGAAGTTAGGATTCTTTCCAGAGCACAAAAAAGAGATTCTTGTAAAAAGCTTGGATTTAGGGCTTATTTTATGAAACCATTAACAAAGGTTGTAGTAGGGTCCAACTTCATTGCTTCTTTGATTTGAAGAATAAGATAGATTACTATTCTTTGATCTTATTTTTCGTGAGGAAGTCAAATTTATAAAAATGTACATACTCATATTTTTGTGTAAATGTATTGAATTATTTCAACTTGATCTTTTTTTAAGATCAAAATGTTAATTGACAAAAATACTGATAATTGGTAAGTAATACTTATATTCTATAATTAAACATTTTAGGCAAAACATTTTAAAATTGTAGTATAAAAAGCCATTAAGTAGATATAATTAACAGCACATGCTTTTGCATAAGCTCATTCAGTGACAAATATTAAACTCATGCTAGCTAATCTTGATTTTAATATGGAAGTCTAATGTTAACAGATTAAAAAATAAGTTGAAAATATGCTGATTTGATTTGTGGTTTGGTAGATGACATCTATAAATTTGAAATGCTGCTTATGGTATTCTTTAATGATGCTAGTTTAGTGTTAACAGATATTACAAAGTGTTTAGGCTTCCAGGGTCTAACATTGGCTTAACTGCTCTGGAAAGAATTGTATGGGGAATATAAAAATAAAATTTATTATTAAAAAATGATTAATGTGGATACATATCAAATTTTATTATTTAGTTATAACCCAGTAGTATTGTTTTTGGAAGATGACCCAAATAATCATGAACATTTACTATATATTCAAGAGGCAGCGTTGAAAAATAATGTATGTAGGTTGGAAAATTTACATAATAGATTGCTAAGCAAATCAGTTTGGGGGATGTTCCTAGCCACAACATAATATATCAAACCATAAGTCCATCTATTTTCTTTAACAACTATTACATTTTCAAGTATGGTTGTAACATCATTAACTCTAGGAAATAACAATATACCAGATATCTTGACAAATATAGATTTTGACACTAAGTATTTACATCTTTTATTTTACAAAAAGGAAGAGAAATGAAATATAAGTTCAGGATTGTATAGGTTTTATGGAAATATTATATTTAGGGATAATAAGTACTTTATTTTTGTTATTTATATTACTAGCAGTCTTCTCTTGCTGTGCAGAATTCCAGGGAATGAAGATCTATGAGAGAGCATTTCATTTCTGAGAGTAGAAAAAATACATAATACAAGAAGGCAGCCAGCTAAAACAAAAAAAGAAAGATGAAATAAAATTTGAAACAATCACAACAGAAGAATGATTATGTGTTTTGGGCAGAATCAGAAATGATAAAAAATACTAGAAAATAATGTTAGATAAGAACAGTTATTAGCATATGCTACCATGAATCCAGCATATTTAAGATTTACTTTATGGTAGAAGAATTTTATCTGGTATGTTTAACTTATTAAAATGATGGAAACAAGATATTTTACATTGACATAAAATTTTCCTGGGTAATGTGCTAATGTAACTAGTTTAGATGGAATAATTTCAGGATTTTAATGGATTTCTGCTTTAGTGGATTACCCTTTCAGAGTGGAATATTTCTCTCTTAGAACCAAGCCACATGTAATATCATCTGCAAGCCTAAATTATAACTATAAGAATTGTTTTTATAAATGCACATTTTTATGAATGCATAACTGTTATAAGAATAAGACAGGGTATGAGCCAAAAAGCATTTATGACTTCTTATTCACTACTGCCAGGATCCAAAATTGATTATTTGCAAATGGGTTGTTTACCATGTCAACCATATTGCCATGTTTGTTGTTATAATCTCATTTTTCCACTGCTAATTAGAGTTTGGGATTATAATAAAATTATGTGAAGAACTGTTATTGTGGCAAACAAGGAGATTTCATAGGGTAGACACATTGAAGTGTTTAAATTATGGGCCCTTAGCTAAGATGTCTTTTAAGACCATTATAGAAGGAGCTGATAGCTTTACCGATTTCAGACTAGAAAAGAATTATGTATCATTCACTTTGCACACACTTAAAAACTAATGGTTTATGCCCAACTCTGGGCTAGTCGTTATGAAAGAAACAAAAGAAATATGCTCCTTATACTTTAAAATGGGAGTTGATGAGTAGCTCATATTTTGATAAGTACTAACATCATTATGAGACATGGTGTAAGCTGTTGATAAGCCTTAATTTTGGGCAAAATATATGCATTTGCTAATGACAGGTAGAAAGCATAATTGGAAAGAAAAATGTGATGAGTGTTTTAATATGGAATCATATCTTGGTAAACCTCAGAGTATGGATGATTTCAATAAATAGGTGATTATC